CGTGCGTGGACTCCCGGGGCCGCCACGTACGGTTGGAGAGGAGCTTGCTGGTTGGGAAGAACCTTCAAGGTTCTATACTCATTGCACCGGAGGGAGGCGCGCGATGGAAGCTGCTCTCGAATTCTTAGACTTGCAGCTGGACATGGATGGATCGGGACCAATGGCCTTGCCATGTCCAACTTCCGGACGAATCTTTCAAGCTGCGTTTTCGTCGTCTTCGTTTAGTGACTGAAAACAATGTGAGTCACCGCTTAAATACGTTAGCTTTGGGTTTCTGAGTTCTTGGAGCGCGTCCAGAGTCGCTACGTCCATAGATCCAGTTGGCAACTGGCTGGGGCAGTCACTAGACTCGAAGTCGGCCAATGTGAGGCAAGGAACCTCAGCTTCCATGCATGCGAGTGTGTCTTCTTTCGGGCCTGGGAACCCACGAAATGATTTAGCTCGGGCGTTGCATATATGGACTGCAGATCCTTCGTAGCAGCTGGTAGAATCAACCACAGAAATTTGTGAGCCAGAGTGCCAGAGTGTGATTCCTTTTCCTCGCCATAGATTTGATCAACAGCGAGAGATGGGAAGATGTGTTCCCAAGAACGGGTATCAACTCTTCGATGTGTCAAGCGTTGTAGCAATGAAATGATCATGGGAATTGGGATGGACACCTATCCCGGTCACCCTGATTTCCTCTTACAGTAGGACCGCACATAGCTCGCGCATGAAATGCCTGAGCGAAGCTCGGTTTGCACTGGGAACGGGATCTCAGGGGAAGAATGTTGGAGCAAGGAAAGAAATCATAGCTTGCCTGCTAATTGGTTGGATCTTCAGCCTTCAACTTCCTGGGAACATGTGTGTTCTCTCACAAGCACTTTTTGCCAGGCGGCAATCGTCCCCCAGATGGTTTGGAGACTTCCGTTTCACGATCCCCGGATGCCCAAGTTAGGAAGGGTGCTGTACCTGGGGGGACCACCCCCCAATCAATGCACAGGCAAAATATCTGGGGACGACATCTGGGAAGACATTGCAGGTGCTCTTAAGTTTGCAAGTTGATAATTCTGTTCTCTGGTGTTCTTCAAATTCAATCCGTAATCCTTATGTATGCCAGCTGGTATTGGTTTCCCCTGCTGCAGTCGTGTGCCCCAACAGATTTCCAATTACGGATCCTTTCATTGGAACAGCCCAGTTTGCCGGAGAGAATGTGCCTGTCCACCATGATGAACAGACAAGTACGACACCAGCATGAAAACAGAATGATGGACGGGCAAGGCAGCAAGTATTTATATGCTTGGCGTCACGACGTAGACATCGGTTTGTAGCTGCACACCACGAATACGTTGACAAGCTTTTAGATGCGGATGCAACTAGGGTCACTTGCCGAGGCAGGCAGCTGTTTGTGTTGTTCTTCGGAGAAGGAGACGACAGACCGGCAAGTGCCTGGATGAAGGAAACCTATTTGCTGTTTCGTTCCCGTCAATTCCCCTCTAAACTGACCAACAAACTGACACTCTACGGCATGAGCTTGTTTGTTGCATCCATCCGAGTTTGAAAGCAGCAAGCTATTGTTGGACTTCATTCAGAGCAGTGATTGAAGTTGCTGCCCAGGTAGATGCCGGCGCATGATGCTGGCCGTGCGGGAGGAGAAGCCCTGCGAATGTAGCAGTTCCGAAGTTTCTGCCAATTTGTGCTCGAGGCCCCTTTGATTGTACAGTGGCGGCGGCCACTCTTGCCAGTTCATGGGGGAAGCACAGAAGAGACAGACGAAGGCGCAAGACAGAAGAGTGCATTGTGATTCAATGGCCCAAATGACCGTTTGAGGCTTCTAAGACCGCTCACTATAACAGTGCAGATCGTGTTCACAAGATACGCATATTCCGGCGTAAGTTTTGAGAAAAGGCAGACATCAGATTAGTTGGCTTCCTCCGACCTCAAAGGATCCCAAGCGGGGTGCAACTGAGCTCCTTGGGAATCAGCGTCTCTATGCCAAGTTGCGCTAGGTGGTCAACAACTAGCAACACCCCCAACAGCAAGGCTCACACAACCTGGCTAACGTGTCCATGGAGGTGGAGTTCGTTCTTGTGGGTCACAACCTGGATGCGAGCAAGGGAAAATACAGGGTAGGGTGCTTCTGCTTTGTTTCTGTGCTGTCAGAGAAGTGACCGACAGATTCATCTGCTTGGCATCTTGTGCGCTGCCAATTCGAGAAGGCGGCCTCAGCATGGGCCTCGTAGGGGCCAAGCACCACGAGGGCGAAAGGAACCCCGCTGAGTTATGCGAGGGCAGGATTGTGCTTTGATAGCGAGTTTGACCCCTGTGCGGTCAATCGTTGGAACTTAGTTTCGAATCATTGGCTGTTCAAATCGAAGGGGGCTAACTCTAAATGCTCTCCAAAAAGAAGCCTGCCCAGGTAGAAACTGGTGAATCCAGCTTTCAGGCCAAGTGAGCCAACATCACGTGCAGGAAAAAAAGGGATATGCTCAACAGCTGCAGGATTGCACAAATACGGTTTTGTCTTTGGGCATGGTGGATTTTTGTCTGACTCACATTTAAATATGACAGCTGTCATGGAACACGGTATTCATTCGTCGTTTCTTTATTGCGACCTTGGCCCAAGTGGTATATCCAAGTTCTAGTTAGGTTAATTAGGTGTGCTATCAACACCTCTTTGAGTCGGTGAAACAGAAATGGGAGGGGTGGGCTGCCTGCACAGCTATACCGCGGGCCTTGTCGAGAAGCAAAGGGCTCTTGAGAGGGTTCCGCAGAAGTGATCTTCGAAGGGTTCCTCGAAGCTGTGGCGCAAGCTCGACAAGTATCAACACGCTTCCGCAGAACCGTTAGTCGATGTTCTGAATCAATTCCCGAAATCACGCGCAGTGTTTGCCTACCTCGCAAAATACTTTGTCGAAGTTCCGCGGTGCCGGAAATCCAGACCCGCGCCCCTTCCCGAAACCGTCTATTGAGAGTGACATGTATCACCCCCCGTGTAAAATGTGTTTTCGGTTTATTCGACTTCTGCGTAGCAGTTGGAGGCCACCCCACTTGGCTGTGATTCAATTGGGGAACCACCTCAGAGGTTGGCGGCTCGCCGGATAAATGATCACCAAGGGTCCCCGGTCATTTGTTCAACGGGGGCTTGGGGTCACTGCCTCATTTTATACTGCTCGGGTGGGGGTCGGGCCCCTCGAATGTATTTAGGTTTCAGGTTTTCCCCCAAAAGTGGGCGTGGTGAAAATGGGCCGACCCACATTTTCCTTTTCCGTTGTTTCTCAATGCGTGTTCCGCTGGGCCCTCGCTCTATGTTCTGCGTGCTGCTTGTTTTGTGGCTCCACTCCCTTTTTCTGGCCCCTGTGCGATCTCGGCGCCGGGCGTGAACGTTTCGTCTTCTTTCCGAAAAAGGGTTTGAAGGCCGCGAATGCAAGCGGCCTCTTTTCTAAGCTAGAATTGTGGGGTCCCCTGACCAGGGGTCCCACTAAAATAGGATCTTTGAAGGTCCCAAAACCGACGTGTTCCAAATTCCAATTCCCCTCCTGAGCCCAATACCCTCCAAAACGAGTCATTTGCGGGAAACTTGCTACTTGCCTCCATGTGTTTGGGACTGGCTGCGCGTTGACGGCCTGGCCAGCGGGCATAAGCAGCACGTCCGTGAAGCAGAACATATCTCTGTGCGTGCAGTATCTCCTTGCGTGCACTTGCGAGGCCCCGGGTCTTCAAAAACTCTTGCAAGGAAGATCTTGAAGCTTTTCTTTAGAAGATTGAGAGTCCCCCAGCCCAGAATTACAGGAGAAGGCAGCCCGGTCCAAGTAGGCTTTGTACATGAGGAGGAAGGTTAGCGCGGCGTGGTGTTGTGTAAAATGGGGTGTCCAACAGGGCCCAGCAACAGGGATTTGTATGCCCGCTGTGCTTGGCCCAAAGAATTGAGGGGAGCCAAGGAATTCGTTTTTCCCGCCAGCGGGCCGGGCTTCGAAATGAAAAGGGTAGTCGCCGAACTGCTGGGCACGCCCCAAAATATCGGCGAGACGCGGTCGTGGTAACAAAATTAGATGAGGCTGGGCCCGCCTGATTTTATTATGGTTACACCGAGAGCTCAAACGAAACTAAAATGGGATAATGATAAGGCTAGCCCAGGCCCCCCCTTTTTATAATGAAGCCACTTCTGATCCCCCGAATTGAAAAAATCTTAACATATTTTGAGTGACCCAAGGGCCCCTTGAACATCGACCGTCTATCACCAAGGCGTGGGTAGATCTATTACAATTACTAACCTTTTGCTCTTATGACCATGACTTGAATTGGTTTTATAGTACCCCGCACCCCGTTTCAAGGATTGAAGCCGTTAGAGAATGCATCCTGTTAAGGACCCCGTCAATGAAAGAAGCTCTTTTGCCCAGGCTTCGGCCGGCCCGGAAAACGTTCCACCAACCGCTTTGGTTGTTTTGTTGCCCATCACAGCTTTGCAGTTGGTGGCACCTTCCCTCGCTCCCGTGAAGGTTCGCAATAAAAGGGCCGCCTTTTACTTGGTCCACTACTGTCCTGCGTTTTTCCCTATTACATTCAGTTGGATGCCCTTTACTTGAAAGGGTCAAGTAGCCCTCAGGATTTGCCTCCAGGCAAATCCTACGGATTGGCGAGCAGCAGGGCACGTTGACCACTTAATTGGGATGGCGCAAGCAAGAAATCCATGCACCACCCCAGAAGCTTGACCAAAGTGTGGGGCACAGCACCGACATCCCAGATACCTTGGCAGCACACCCAGCAAATTTGCCAGCATGTACCCTGAGTTGAAGAAAAAGAGAAGCCATACACAACTTGGTGGCTCCCAGCCATCCCTTTAACTTTTTAGCCTTTTTTTGTTTAGTGGTAGTTTTCATTTGACCCACTAAAAGTTAAACTCTTAGCGGTAAAAACTGAGGGCAGCCCAGCCAAGCCCGCCGTTTGAAGAGGACCGGTGTCTCCAACCGCAAGTCCTAAGTCCCCATCTTTGGACCGCCCGGACCGGCTGCGTCGCTGAGGACGGGCGAAGGCGTCGAGAGCTGGGTGGACGGCAGGGAGCCTGGCTCCGTTTGAGACTCCACCAAATGCACGGATATAGTGTATAATTATTATATGGGCTGTGGTTGTCAAAGCCAATGGGATCCTATTTTGGTTGGTAGGTGCACCACCCATTCTAGAACCTATTTTAGTGGGGATTAAAATGTTCACTGGGGGTACGGGCTTTTGACCCATGGCCATACGTATATATATATATATATAAATACATGGAGAGCAGGTTCATTAAAGAAAACAAACCAACTCGCCTCCCCCGTGATCTACCTTTCATGGGCCACACTCAGATCTTGAGATGCCAGTCTTCCCAAATCAAATGCCCCTGCGACATCACAATCACTACACACTGCATACCTGTCATGCACTCTACTGGAATGAAGCTTTTTGGCTCTCCCCTTAGTTGTCTGCATTGTTTAACCCAATGTTGGCCCCGTTTGCGTTTGTAGGCACGCTTCCAGCCACTATGTGCCGTAGCCCGCCTTCCCCAAGTGCGCCAAGAAAGCCTTAGTCCTTTGCGCAAGTTCGCTTTGCAAGTTTCTCTGCGCAAGTTGTGCGGGTAGATTTCTCTGAGCAAGCGTGTCTGAGCAAGATTCTCTCAAGTTGTCTGAGCAAGTTCTCTGAGCAAGATCTTTGCATGCAAGTGGTTTGTAACTTTGTGTAAGTTTATCTGCACAAGCTCTCGGCGCAACTATCTCTCTGCAAGTTGCTTTGTGCAAGTTGTTTTGTATGCGTCGTTCTCAATGCAAAGGGTCGTCCTCCACGCAAGTGCCGCCCAGGGTTGCAAGAGACTCTTGTGTTTACACATCGACCACGTCAATCCCCGCATCCCTGCAGAGGGTTTTATTTTCGCGGAGTGGGCTTGGTCCCACCGCGCCGCCTTAAAAGGATAATGATTCTGATCTCTCGCGCAAGTTTCCTCAGCTCGTTCAAATGTGTTTTGCGACTTGGCCCGTGCAAATGTGCTCGTGCAATTGGCTGGCTGGGCGCGTTCTTTCGTACAACTTGCTCTGCACGTGCTCTCGCGTTCTTGTTCTGCACGCACTCTCGAGTCTAATGCTCTGCATGGGCTCTTATGATCTCTTATGCATCTTGAGCTGCATGTGCGCCCGACATGCTCTTGCTACACGAGGTCGTGATCTTGCCCTGCATGTGTGCTTGACATGTGCTCGTGGCTCTTGCCATGCCTGGACTCTCGTGCATCTTGCTCTGCATGTGCGCTCGGCGTGTGCTCTAACGTATCTTGCTATATGCAATGGCTCTCGTGCATCTTGCCCTGCATGTGCGCTCGACGTGTGCTCTCGTGCCGCTTACTACGCATGGGCTCTCGTGTATCTTGCTCTGCATGCGCGCTCGACTGAAAATCAAATTGACAAGGACATCCAGCCTTTTGACATTGTTTTTACTAGCAGTTTCAATGGTTGTTCTCTCCACCTGTTTTTTATTCGAATGTATGAGGAAATGCAGTTGGCTCAAGCTGAATTTGGTTTGAACTCGAAACACAATTTTTAAATAGTTACAATAGAACCACGATTATGTACTAAGCCCGCCTTGAACAGAGGGTTCCCCAATTTTGGAAACACTCTGGTTCCCCTTTCCTGACTTGGCGTAGTGACATTCCCTGCCTGGGGGCCTTGGGTTTGCCAAGCGGTTGACTGGGTTGAGCAGTCCAGGGACTGAACATACGAGCTTGTTCAGGCCGGCGGGACCCCGGTCAACCTCGACACAAAGGTTTTGACCATTTCAATCCTCGGAAAGGGCGATGTACGAGGATTGTTTTGGCATACCAAAAGCAAGCTCACTTTCGCTTGGCCTGGGGAAGTCAGGGGTGTTTAGTGTACCCGGTAACCGGTTGCTGACTCTTGGCGGTGCTTTGGTGCTGAGGCTCCTCCTACAGCGGTCAGTACCAGGCACGTTTTTCAGCATGTTTGGAGTCTCCCTTTCAACCCCAAATAACCCGCAAGCAACCCCCAGGTACAATCCCAGGCACAGGTGCGGCCGCTTCTTTGGTTCTTTATATTGTGGGCAGACCACGTGAATAACTTTGGATTATCACTCACCAGGCAACGTATCCAAATTTTAAGGGCCGCAAGTCATTACCCCTTGGAATCAGTTGGAGGTGCAAGTAAAAGCCCAGCAACTAGGGACCACCAGCTTTTCCTCCCATTCAGAGCCTCGCGGGGGAAGGACAGGGGGGGCCCTCCCTTCATTTCCACCATGTGCACCTCCACAAGTTGCAGCTATTGGAGCCTCCTACCGGCAATCACTTTTATTTGGCCAGGCCAGAAGTGGATTGCCCTGATCTTGTTTGAATAGTTTCCTGTTGGTTTCGAGAAGGTCTCGTTCCATCAAGCCTTGCCAGACTTACCCTCCCACAAGCAAATACTTTCGCAGAAGACATCATTCGGTCTTCAAAGAGTGTCTAGTCCATCTTCACTTGTATGACCGTGTCCCACTTTCGCAATTTGTTTAGCAGCAAACAAGAGCGGGCCATCCGTTTCATCAAAGGAACCCCGAAGAGCACACTTTGCGAGTGTTGTGTTGTCCGGGCTCGGTTCCATTTTCGCTACCGGGCCGTGGTTCCCTTCTGCGCCCAGCTGGTAAGCAGCAGTTTGGCTTGGTTCAGGTCCGGAAAAGGACGGAGTAGCCAAGCATTTTCCCGTGCTTTCATTGTTTCACCTTCTCTAGGTGCGTCAAAACTGGTCCCGTGAATTTGTAAGTCCGTCCTTGGCCAAGCTGGCTTCGGCACACGGCCTCATGTGTGGATCAGAGTTTGGTGGCGGCATTTTGAGGCGGATTTGTTTGAGGGGGCTTGCAGATTGTGAGAGCTCAGCTTCCCCAAAGAGACCGCCATGCGCCAGGATGGGCTCAAGCACGGCAAGGGCACCTTCATCTGGGTTGATGGCTCTGCCTGCGCCCCAAGGGATGCTGCGACCACTCGGGATCGCGACTGAGAAAGAGAGAGAGAGAGGGATAGACAGAAAAATAGAATACAAGAAAAGAAAAGCAAGAACAAAAAGAAAGACATAAAACAAAGACATACATAAATAAAGAAAATAATTAAATACAGGAAATAACATAAAGAAAGGGAAACATAATCAATTACATAGATAAAGGAGAAATAAAGAAGGAAAGACAAGAAAGACAGACAGACAGAAAGAAAGAAAGAAGAAAGAAATAAAGACAGACACACATGAATAAATAAAGAAAGACAGAAGGAAAGAAAATAAAGAAAGAAATAAAGAAAGACAGAAGGAAATAAACAAGGAAAGAAAGACAGAAAGACATAACAAAATAACTAAATCTAGAATTAGACAGATAAAGAAAGACATAAATGGACACACAAGCAACGAGAAAACATTCAATCATCAGTCAAACTATCCAGTCTATGGTCCATTTGGGAGGGACATGCGGGAAGTCACGAAATGTCCTACAGAAAAGTGGAATGGCTAACTGTCCCATATTCCTTATGGCAATCAACATAGTTGTTCTTGCACGGTGGCTCATGTGCCTCCAAGGGAGCACCAGTCCACCAATGCAACGCACGTCCAGCTCTTCTGCTGCGACTTCCAAAGCGGTTCAACCTGTTTGCTCTCACTAGAACAATGTTTCTTGGCAAATGATGGGGGTGTCTATTTTGAGAGGCACCCTGTTTGGAGTTGGTTCAAAGGGAAACCAACGGTAAACCCACCCATTTTGAGGGCTCCCCTACCCGCTGACAAACCCTGACAGTGACCTCACAGAGGGGGTGTGCGACACCCGTGCTTCCTTGCGTTTGGCTGATAGGTGATAGAGGGAATCCTTTGGAAAAAAACTCCCCCGCAAAATTCGCCAGGTTTTTCTTCCGAGGTCAGCCCTAGTCATGTTTGATTCCCAGGCATTTTTATGCTCTATGGTGATTCTTCCATCCGTTTGAGTGAGAGTTTTCCGCAGTTTTCTCCATGATTGACAGACCCGGCGAGGTCTACAAAATTCCGGTTCAGCCAAACACCGGCAATTGGCACGGGGAAGGCAGACATCCAGTCAGGTTCCATGTTGTTGGTTTGAGGGGATGCAATGGTTTCCTTCACAACCAATACCTTTCCTCGCTCTTGGTGTAAGGCGCTTGGTCATCGCTCGGAGCTTTCCATTCCGACCCGGCTTTCTTTGTCAGAAGTACATGGGCTACTTCGAGATGAACGACATTCACGGCGAGGCGTGTGGCGCTGCAACAGCTCACTGGTGAGGGGGCAGACTGATGCAGCCTGGAAGACCAGGGTGAACGCATGTCTTGTGTGAACATTTGAAAGGGGACATATATTTTGGTTGTTTTGTTGCGGTTGGTTTTTCCTACTACACCAGGAGCAGGAGTTACTTTCACTATGTGGGACATCAGCCATGTGTTGGCCCACAGACACATGGCGTCCCGAGCCCCAAGCCAACGCACCAGGAGGAAGGAGGCCAATGACCCACAGCTTCGCGTTGCCCGGCTCGGCCAGTCCGCTTTTGGCTGGCTTTGAGGTTTTTTTTGCTGTGCTGAAGTTTGCCTTGAAGTGTTGTGTTTATTAGAGTGAGTCGGCGCCGAAATGCGCGAGCTGGTTTCCAAGGTAGAGGGTGGGTGCATGCCGCGCGTTTCCACATGGCTTCAAGTGCCAGGTAGAGAGCTACAGAATTTCTAGGAATTTTGACTGGAATCTGGGCGGAATGTTGCCAGTTGCTGGGGGGATTTGACCTGAGTTGGACCTGGTTTTAGAGGGCATTTGGCAGGTTTTTAGGGGGCATTTGATTAGTTTCTGGCAGGATTCTGACCGGTCTTTAGGGGAACTTGACCGGCTTCTGGGAGGATTTGACCCGAGTTGCGCTGAGAGGGGGAATTTGACCGGTTTCGGTTGGGGGTTTGGGACGGACATGATCCCTCAATGAGGGAGTCGTCTTGACTAAGCAAAACAAGGACTATGACCGCTTTTTGTTGGAAGCCCTCTTGTGGCTCAACGCTAGAAGCTGGTTGCAGATGCTGTGGGTTCCATGTTAGACCGGGCACAGCGCGAAGCACATGTCAGGGATTGAGCAGTCGGAGTCCCTAAGCCTGTCAAGCATGCAACTGGATGGTTCGCAGCGGCAAAGTTCCTCAGTGTGATTACCAGTTGTTGCAAGCAAGTGATGTAGTGTGGGTCGTTGAAAATAGTGCGTAACGGCGGAATCGAGTCTCCCCACAATGTCCATGATCCAGCAGAGATTACGCAGTGACCAACCCCATGTTTCCCGCCGACTTTGGCCAGGGGACCTATATTTGGGCCGACGGCCGGAAGTGACCTGCTGCCATTGCGTCGAGAGTCCATGTGGCGACATGCATCATCAAGTTACCAGCCTGCGTGGCACGAGAAGAACAGTCTAACGTTGCAGCGCAGAACAAGCCACTTTCGAGGAACCTAGCAAGCAAATACACCACAGCTCAAGTAGTTTTGGTGCAGCAGCAGAAGGGGCGGCAGGTTCCGCAGCTGACAAGGTTTTGCTTTTTGGCTGGACCTGGAAACTTGAACCCCCTTGCACAGACGAAACCTGTGCAGTGCATCAGAGGCCATTGCAAGTCAAGAAACTGCAAATGGTGAACTCCGACTATGTTTCTGAGGATCGTTCAAGTTTACCACAGTTGAGCCTATTGCGTACAGCAACTTGGTAGAGTTTGGTACCGAGTTCTACAGTTCGTTGTGGGCATCCAATTGCAACGAATTGGTTGCAACAACAGCAGCTTCATCTTTAGAACGAGTCTGTCTCACAGAAGCCGGAAAAACATGTGTATTCGTTGTTTACCCGTTTCAGTCCCCAATCATGAGCAATTTGGTTTTAATGATGCCCCGTTCTCATTCCAGATGTTGAATAGTTGTGATTGATAGGGTTCCCCCCTATACCTTTTTCCTTGTGGTGGTTTTAAACGTCGCCTTTGTTCCAATTGTACAAAGGAGACCCCTTTGTATGTTTTGCGGATTCCTAGAGCCATGTTCCCTTTTGACTCGGTCGGCCAACCAAACGATCAAAAATCCGCTACGGTACGCCGCGCGGCTCGGGAGGTACACGGGCCAGTGGAGGAGCAACCGCATGGAAGGCAAGCCAGGCCCTCAGCTGGCGCGATTTTTCGGATGTTGGTAAAGGGGGCGAGGGACATCTGAAAACACGGGAGCGTCGTCTGTCGCTCAACTGCAAAGTGGCTGCGTCTCCGGATTGTGACAAGTTTGGGAATTTCTACTACCACAGGGGTCAGTAGCCCAAGGGAGGATGTGAGGGCAAGGGGGAGCCTAAATTTCTGGATCTTTCGACCACGAACGGTGGGTGACAGAACCTCGAATGAGCAATCACCAGTCAGTAAATGATCAAATGATCTAATTGAGGGCTGATTTGACCTACCCAAACCTCCTACTACTTGTTCAAGCTGAGTCATTGAATACCTTGTTGCTCAAAGGGGTAATGTCCCACTACATACTTTAAGCGAGTCAGCTGCCGACATCAGACCTGTCATTTTGGTTGGGCAGAAGGAGTTATGATTGTTGCTTCCAAGGGAGCCCTTTGATCACGCATAGCTGCTGAAAGTATTTGAGAGGCGTTTAGCTGTTGAGTTGCATGGTCCACTCAATTTGCGCGTTGCAGTGTGGTCCCCCCATCCCACGTCATTATGAGGCTTCCTGATTTTCGTGAATGTTACGCAAGTCCTGGATATTTGATTTGGACGATTCAGTTGGGCTTTTGCGGTGGCTGAGATGCACGAAAGCCGGGAATTGTTCAAGGTTTCAACATAGGTACTTCAAACCAAGTATCCAGTCATGATCATACGATAATGATGCAAATTGACTGCAGGGGATGATGGCTCAATGCTGCCCTCCTCCAAGTTCCAGGAGGCTAATGATGAAAACGCACGTCAATACTGGTTGACCTGTGTTTCCGCCCCCTTATCAGTTTGTTTTTCTTTTCTTTTTTCTCAGAAGCCATATTAGTTAATCATTGCAACTGCAGGGTTTTCCATCCCTTCCCCTCAAAGAATGCAGAGTATCAACTTGGACGCATAATCCGGTGACAAAAGCAGCTTGGGTCCTTGTTTAGATTATTTTGCCAGTTTGTCCTTGCACATGGGTTCCCAGTCCCACAGCATACCAATATTTACCGTGGATGTTTGCGTATAGCCCCGACCAGGTTCTGATTCGCTTGAAACATTGCCAGACTGAACTGCCTTTAAAACTTTGGGGTCATAGTGCGTTTCCAAAATGTCCGTTCAACTAGCACATAGTGGCTTAACCGCCGTTTGGCGCACGCCTCCCTGGGTTGGGGGGGTGGCGACTAGTACCTCGCGGATGGTGTAGCTTGTCGGTCTTCGTCTCTGCGAAGCTTCTGAGCCAAGGGCTGCAAGCTCTGGCGCTACACGCCTAGTGCTCGACCCTGCAAGCAAAAGCGCTTGTCTCGGCGGCGCCGGGTGCCCTCTTCGGGCAAGCCGTTTGGGCACCTCGTGCTTTCCCCCTGCCCATGTTCGCTTCCCGGTCCATGGGTTCGGGGTTCGACTCCCGGCCATGTTGCCAACCTGGCGATGCGTGAAGCAAGTTGCCTTTCTGCAGGGGTCTAAGTCTGTCCCAGACTGCAGGTTGCACAGCTTTCGCTGGCCTGACCATTTATTGCCTGCAGGCCTGCTGAGTAAAGATGCAACAATGCAACTTATCATTTGAGTACAGGTACCAGGATGACTTTGCGCAGGTGGTTTGTTTCCCATGTTTCGCGGCAAGAACCAGATGTGCACAACCAGCATCACGTAAAAAAACGGCTCTTCATTTGCTGCAAAGCTTCAACTTAATTCGTTTTTCGTTTCTGCAAGCGCGGCTGGGCGAGTCATTTTACAGTGCCCAACGCCTGTCAGCTGCCGAGCCGAGGGGCGCATTCCTGTGGCCGGACGGGCCCGGAGCCCTTTGGGGGTGACCGGGGAGCCTGGTGCAGGGATGTTCCACGCCAAACGGGCGCAAAGCGGAGGGTTGGGGACCTTTTCACCTTTTGATTTTCTCGTTTTGGTCCATTTTTTAGTCATGGCCCCAAAAGGTTCACCTGTTATTTCCAGGTCCTTTGGGCAACTGAGCTAAGCTAAGGGTTGAGTTGCTCTGAGGAAATTTCAAGGTCCCAAGTCGAATCTGAAGATCCCGTCCTGGACCATCATTCCTTTTGGACACTACGTCAAGTGAGTCAGGGCAACTGGGGCAATCATACAGAATCACCTTGTTGCTGCCCAGCCACAAGCTGACCAGCGCGTAAGTCAAGAGGCATTTGCAGCACATGCTGGCAGAGCGGCCTCGGCTCGATGCTTCGCATGCCGTCAGCATTGCAGAAGCAAACCGAGCAAAGTGCCCGCTCGGCTTGTAAAGAGTGTGATGCCATGAACATTCAGGACGTCACCCCAAAGGCAACCAGCAATAAGGAGGAGTACAAGTGGATCATCCGCTTGGGGATCCCGCTTCTTTTGTTTGATCTTTTCCACGCTGATCATAGGCACCCGTTTCTGTTTCTCAAGCTTTGGATAGGTTCGCTCAAACCAGACCATGGGTCTTTTTTCCCGTGGCCACTCGTTTCATTTCATACTTGACCTGACCTCTTCAGGCCCCCTAGGGCCCCTTCGGCCCGGAATCAGTTCAAACGCATGCTCCGTCAACTCCCCCTTAGGGCTAGCTACAAGGGTCAAACATTTCAATTTCATGATCATTTACCATAGGCTTACATATATGTCAATATCTATCCAACGTGGGGGAATTGTGCCGTCTACGTTCAGTCAACTGCAACACAACCTTTCCCTGACTGGTGCCAACACCTTGCCACGTTCTGTCAAGATCAGGGACCCTGCAATGACTACACGAAAGCAGGTGTTGCAATGTTACGACCAGTAATGAACCCATGTTACTGAAAGGGGGGGGGTTACCCACCAAAGTCAAGGCTTCCCAAGGAAACTGTGAATCGACCAGGGGCTTCTTTTGCCGGGTAAAACATTAAAGCTGAAGGCTTTTTGCCCTTATCATTTTTACTTGGAGGTGTTGGTTACTGAATGCAACCGGACAGTGAGATCGTCAGTTGGCCTCCCATGGGCCTGAGGCGGAGCTACACGGGGGAGTGCCCAGGGGAAAGAAGGGACCCGCCCTTTCCGGCCACTCAGAGGGATCGATCGAAAAAGTATTTTACTCGCTTGCCCAAATCTGGTTGTCCTTTTATTTCCTGGTTCTTTGGGCAAGTGAGTTTTATAATTCCTCAGGTACTCGCTCGCTTATTTTGGCCATCCAGAGGCTCATGGTCATGTTTTCCTACCTTGGGCAACCACATTGACGCTTGAGCATCCTCGCTCTGGATTTGCCATGTATGGCGTATGTCTTCCTTTTAGTTTCACTCTTTGGCTCATGTGGAGTGAAGAGGCCGTAATCTCCTCATCCATACCAGAGGTGCTCCGAGACGCAAAGATTGACGAACCCACAAGGGCAGATGGGCGGGTCCTCTCATTTTCCTTTACCAGGGGCCAATGTTATACCCGAAATTTGACAGACTCGAGAAAGACTAGCGCTAGTCCACTTGGTCATGGCTTTGCGTTCAGTGTTTGTCTTCTGCCATTTGCGCGGTCAGTGGAATGGTCGGTGTTCAGATTTGTGTTTGCGTGTGTGGGTGCGGTGATTGAATAGTACAAGAAGGAAGAATTGCCCGCCACTTTTGATGTCCAAGACACTCTACTGGTTATCCGCCACGCTTCGAGTAGCGCTTGTGTTGGGCTTCCGGTTGGAACAACTCGGCACGTTTGAGGAGTTTGTCCAGGATTTGGATTTGAAGGCCCTCGACCATGCTTTCATTGCCGGGCAACGGGTCAGGCTCAACCTTACAATGTGTAGCTCGAATCACATCTCCTCCCATGTTGGGCTTCATTTGCAGATGCTTGGGGATTCAAGGGATTGTTTTGCATTCGGATGTCTCATCTAAATTCATAGCTGTACATATTGTGTGTGTAGGTATGTACGATGTATGTATACATACATATATGTATATATCTATATATATATATATGTAGATGTGATTGTATATGCGACCCATCCGGAGAGAAGCGGGCACAACAAGCGAATGAGCTACTGCGCCATATAGGCGTGAAATCACACTGTTCGCACCTGGTTTCATCCAATAAACAACAACATATCAAGCACCAGTGTTATTGAACTACCCCACATGACACAAAATGAGTTGTTCGGCTGGAAGGAATCCCTTCGACGGCTTTTCTTCCTGGCGCCTTTCGCCAGACGCAACTCACAACCTTGGGCAGGTAGTGAAGTCAGTGGGAAAGGTACTTGATGTCAGCTAGCACGGGTGGGAAACCCCCAAACACATCACCCTCCCACACATTTTGAAGACTAAAATTGACCAACACCTGGAGCGCTGTGTTTAGGGAGTAGCAGTTTTGCGAGGTACCTGCATGATCTCAAGCACGGGTTTGGCCACTTCAAGTGGCCGGACAACCGCGAGCCTGATGCCCAGCCGATGCACCTTTGTTATTTTTCCACTAGGCGAAGGGGCGTACGGACGGATGCCCTTTCCTGTTCCGCCGTTTTTACAACCTTCGCAGGGGTCACAGGTAGAAAGAGTGGTCAATTGGAGGTCCAGGTTGATCCTTTCCTAGTCCTTGAGGATTTCTTCGCTTGCACGAAGGGGGGTTCTGGCTCATGGAAGTTAGCTCACAAGCGGGATCGGATCCATGCGTTGGCAGGTGAGATCTTATGTGGCGAAGAACGTTGAATCTCATAAAGCCAAGGTTTCGGGATCTTGTTCATGCTAAGGCTTATTGGGTGTGGACCTGAGTCCGAAAGGTGTTGTTGGTTGTGGGCAAACAGATTAGGTCGATTTGACCATAGCACTGCGGCTGTTTACCTGGCCACTGCGGCTTCGAAGATGCATGCGCTCGTATGGTTTTCCATCCAGGCTGACTCAGGTAACTTGCAAATGAAGCCCATTTGGACTGCCAAAACCCGGCACGATCGGTTCCCGCTTGTTGCAAGAACGAGTGTTCCCAAAAAGGAATGTCTCACATTGTGAGTCGCACGGTTTGGTGGACAGGCAACCTTAGGACCTTCCCAACGCGTTCCCAAGTTGTTTATGTACATGTGTGTGTATGTGTATACGTGAGCATGGGTGTTGTATCTGGCGTTGCTATGTCTATTTCATCCGAGAGATGCCTCTGCGATTTGGGAGCTTGACCAAACTTAGCCCGAATGAACCTGGTATCATGCTTGTGCCGCCCAATTGGTTTTTGCAGCGGGCCACGAGCTTGTTGTTGGACACAGATCGTGGCGCGACAATGCAACCTAATTTGCTCCGCTTTACAAGGCAGTTAGTGATGTTTACATTCGTCCACCCAGATGAAACCACCCAGTTTCAATTCCCGACCCATCCCTCTTGGACGGCCTCCATCCTCTCCCAGGTATGTGGGGGAGTGGCGGAATGGAAAGCAGCATGGGCCGGGAGACCTAAAACTGGGGGAATGGAAATGCAGGTTGATTGGCTTTCTGAATGGCGCAAAATGTGGCTATGATCTCAAAAGGAAAGTTAAAATAGGGGGACCCCCACTCCCCCCCAAACGGCTAGCTTCCCGTCCCGCAAGCCAGCCCTGAAACAGGTACCCTCTACAAGCACACACACACACAAATGTGATCACCAATCGGACCTCCATCATCCCATAAAAAGGACAGCCAAACGAGGTTTGACACCAAAGCTATTCAGACACGTTTGAACGGGTTGGCGCAACCGTGCCTTTCTGGCACTTTAGTCCACTTAACTCCATCTTCCCCTGATTCCGGGGGGGGGGGAAACAAAAACAATATTTAATCGGTTTTTCCCTGCCAGGCACCTGTTTCAACTGGCAGTTGTCCCAAGTGGCAGTTGGTCCATGCCGCAGTTGTGCTTGACCTTGGTTTGGGAGAACGGGTTGGGGCGGGGAGAGTTGGGATCCCATGAGGCTTGCCGGAAGTTCCGAATGCGTCACAGGCAATCGTTCAAGCGAGGCGGCGGTGCGATTTGTTTTTCGTGTTGAATCTGTGGACCACGGCTTTACCAGGCGAGCAGATCTTTTTCTAGCTATGTCCAGCCAAAGCACCTGTGCAGCGCAATCCATGTGTGGTTCCCAGGGGCTTTGTTTCGTTGGTACACATGAGTTTGTGTTTTGGTACCCCCCATGCGACCAGCTTCTTTCCCGGCTCCGAAATGGTCCGCCTCTTTCTGGCCCGGCAATGAGCTGCTCAGGAGTAGCTGTCTACCCTTGTGCTAGAGGTCTTCGGAGCAAGCCTGGCATACATATCGACTGGAACATATATATATATATATAGATAGATAGATTGATAGATAGGTATATAACCCGGAAATTTGCAAAAACCGAGGTCGCTTTAGTTTCTGGGGGGTTAGAAGGCAAACTCTGAACTGTGTCTCAATTTGGCAAACATTTCCATAGCTTATGTCAATTGTCGGCCTCAGAAAACGTTCTGGTGTCTGAGCTTTCTGGGGTTCCGATTCATTTTCAGCCTGACCAGTATCCTTCCCGAATTTCGCATCTCTACGACTGGGTGCAGCAAAACAACTCCGGTGTAGCAGAAGTTTGAGAACGTCGATAATCACCGCTGCGGTGAATGCAGGGAGAGGGTGTAAAATGGTTGGTTTAAAGGCTGAGAAGCGTTTTTTACTTGAACACACGCTGTTGCCGAGCAAATCGTAAGCAGTTTCCCTCAGCCTCATCGTGCCCCACGAACACGCCGGAGAGGAAGCATGTTTATGGCCACTCCTCAGACTGCAGGCCAACAAGTAGGCCAGAAGTCTTGGTGTGCGCTTTGCTCCTGGGTTCCTACGACCCGCAAACGAAGAGCGCCTCTTTCCCTGCACTCGCCATGTCCAGCTCGTCTTTTCGGTGGACCAGCAAAGGGTCCCACGCAAAGAACGGCTCTTAGTTCCCAAGTTTCGCGACCTGGATCGCTATAGAAAATCCCCTCTCGTGTGTTTGCCACTATGGATTAGGATTGGCCACTCCATCTTGAACTTCTCAGTGGGTCCAAGATCAATTTCACTGCTCCAAGCCAGTAGAACAGTTGATTTCACTCAACTCCGATGTCCAAGGACTGGCAAATACACCGAGGCCAACGGCGTGCCTGCGGCCTGATTTGTTTCACCGATTGCGGAGGTTGGTATGTTGGTGAGTCAAAGGGCTTCAAACCCCTTTTCAGGCCCCTTCTCAAGTGTTCCAACAGACTCCTTCAGAGGCATGCCAAAAGCCCCAACGTGGCTTAGGCCACTTGTTTGTTGTGTATTCTGGTTTCCCTCGTCCTTTTTTAGTTTTGCATTGGTGAATCCCTGTAGTTTCTCCATGTTTCACCTTGTACTCTCTTCCGAGAACTAGCTGGTCTATCTTCCCGGTTGCCTGCACTTTCTTGCTTGTTTGATTGTACATTGCTCAACATGTCTAAAACCCATCCTCGTGCAACAGTGCAACAGTGCAACATTGTACTTGTCGTCTTCCTTTCCCCTTTCCTACTTGCACTTTGGTCACATATGTCTGGAAGTGAGTTTGGTGTGTGCCGTGTATTTGTTGCATGCTTTCCTTTCTTTGATTGTACTTTAGTCAAGCATGTCTAGAATTCATCGTGCGGCATACATTGTTGTTTCCTTGTCCTTTCCCAAATTGCACCTTGGTCAGTTGTCTGGGAAGCATTTTCTGTAACTTTGGTCTCTTTGCAAAGTTGTTTTGTTAAACAAATATGCATTAACTTGTACTCGTTTCGTTCTTGTTTCTATTGTTCCTTTTCAAAGATGTGTCCCTAGCATCTT